GGTCTAGCTCAAACATGCATGGTGGGCCTAGCTCAGATATGCATGGCGGGCCCAGCTCGAGCATGTATGGCGAGTCTAGCTCAAATATGTATGAAGGGGTTGGTGGCAATATGTATCAAGGAGAATTAGATGTTGAAGAAATTGTTTCTAGGTTACTTAGGTTACCTGGAAATTGTTTCTAGGTTACCTATGTATAGGGATGCTATAGGATCCTTCAAAACTAGACTTGCCAGGAATTCTCGAACTATGATGGATCCAGGTTATCCCCTCGTTAATATTTTGTCCATTCATATACTTAATCTTATGAATTGTTCTTGTCCTTACAATGCTTTTTGCATTTTAATCCAGCTGAATGGTGGGAGACATATGGTACTGATGCACCTCACCTAAAGAGGATAGCAATCAAGGTGCTCTCCCAGATATGTTCTGCTACTGGCTGTGAGCGCAACTGGAGTACATTCCAATGGTTACACACTACTAAGAGGAATCGACTCACTTCTGAGAAGTTTCATGAACTAGTCTACGTTCATTATAATTTAAACCTCCGAGAGCGACAAATGAGAAGGAAGCTTGAAGACTATGGGCCGATAGACTTAAATACAATATTTGTCACAGACACAGCAGACCAATGGGTAGTAGAAGAGGAGGGGCCAGTATTACACAAGAGAGCGTTCCTTGAGGATATTGATGATGAAGATCTTGAAGAAAATGATGAGCAGCATGAAAGAGGAAGCAGCCAGCCAACGTATCCACAATTCGTCGGAGATGTAGGTGATATTGCACCTAATGAGGGAGAGTGGGAAGGGGGTCTAAGAGAAAATGAGAGAGATGATGCTTCTGAGGCCACCTTATCCCAGCCATAGTATTCACATATTGAGTCCCAACAGCAACAGTGTAGGGATGAGCACGACAGTGCAGGTGAGCTTGAAGGATGGACAAGCTTCAAGGATTTTGGATTGGGAACACAACAAAACACTAACACTCAGGGATTTGGGTATAGTCAGACGCCTGCTAATATCGATGATTCGTTTTTAGATCGAATCAATGAATTGTCAAATGAATTCAATCAATGGCACCAGCGTGACCAAAAAGAACAACAACGTCGTCTATCATTTTATTTTTAGATCGTATGTTACTAATTTTATGCTTTATTGTAGTCCATATATGTTGATATACTTATTCCATGATAATTCTATGTTTATCCTTTTGTGTGATGTAAATTAAATGTTGAATGGTAATTCATTAAGGAAAAGAACATATCAATATTCGCATATTCATGCAAAAACATGAAAATTCTTAATGGAGTACCCTCATTTCTTATTGAATACCTAAAAAATAATATTTATAATGAATTTTAATAAATTTTTCGGATTTTTTTGAAGCTTTATTCTGACCGATTCACCCGATTTTCGATCCGGATCGTCGATTTGCCGATCCGGATCACCGATCCGTTTATTAAACCATTGGACTGCACAAAAACCTTTCGAGAACTGACACGATTGCACAAACCGAATCACTCGCCCGAGTCGACACGACTAGGCGAATTTTGAAATCCTGCTTCATTCGATCTATTCAATTTTAAATTTCTGCCACCCCCATCTTCTCGACCAATCTAGTTTACGCCTTGTTAACGACAAAAAAGTGCCCTTCATAAAAATATTTTTATATTAAAAGTGAAAGGTAATAAGGACAAAAAAGTGCCCTTCATAAAAATACTTTTATATTAGATGTCAACGGTAATGAATATCCAATAAATATTGAGGGGTGAAGTATAATAAAAACACGCACATATATCAATCGAGCAAGAGAGAGAGAGATTAATTTAGCTTAGAAGCTAACACTATATTTCAGCGTTAAGTATATATTTTGAGAGCTATTTTTGCATTCACAGTCTATTGACCCCGACAGAATGTTTCCAAGAAAAATTTGGTAAAGAGAGAAAAATAAGATTTGCTTTTACGAGTAAATATTGTGCGCTATCAGCCATCTATTTTGATGTTCGTTAGATTTAGTGACCAAAATCAATTTTTGACCACCTGGCCCTTAAATTACATGGCCCTCAATTTACAGTCATTGAGTTGGTATATCCCACATCTCTAGTTATAAGTAGGAAGCATGTGCCTAGTGTGTAACCATACACAAAAGGGAGATCGACCATCAGTCTTTAATTACTGACGAAGCACATGAGCACTTGTTTGCTTACCATTTTCCATCAGCAGAATTCCGACTCATCTTCGTCATCTATGAAAGACATCTGGTGGCAAACCCTTAAGTGTATCGATACAATACACAGTATGCATATAGGATACCAGCCTTCAAATGAATTCCCACAATGCTAAAGCCGTGACATATGCATGAAAACATAGCTACCATAGAATCTGAGAATCACAAGGTCTATTACATTGAGAGCTTATTCTGCAACAAAGACCACGGTTTCCAACTGATAAGCTTTGGTAAAGAAGGCAGGCCAAGAGAGGTAAGTTGACATAATGCTGCTCACTGTTGATGCTCCAATGAGCATGTTCATAACAACAATTTGTAACTGTATGGCCTCCAACGGGGAGGCACCCCCCATTATAAGCCCAGTCATGGCCCCGGGAAGAGAAATGAGCCCTACTGTCTTGGCATTGTCCAAAACTGGGGAGAGTGCAAGTATCAGAGCCCTCCTCACCTGTTGTATTGTAGCTTGGCGTGGCGTGGCTCCAAGAGCTAGAGCAGTCTCCACCTTCACATGATTTATATAAAAAAAAAGGTTAAAAAATAAAAAAAAGAACGAAAAGAAATTATTTTCGGTTCAAACGTTCCAAAAAATGCAAGATCAGCAATCGTAAGATGGGTTCAAAGCCAAATCTTCATATAAAAATCTCCAAAAGGACAGGTTAGTAAGATGGATTAGAACCCAAAAGCTTCAATTCAAACGTTACATACGATACTAAAAGATCAAGCCTGGAAGATAGGTTTCAAGTTTTATGACCAAACTAACCAGGTTCTTTTGGATCTTGATGTCATCTCGAAGCCTTTTCATGGTGACCCCAGTCACAGTCATGGCATTCCCAACCATCATTCCAGCAACAGGTATAATGTATCGTGGGGTAAAGGGGAAAACATTTAGTAAAACAAGCAGGAACATGGTAATTGCTGTTCCAGCCAAAATGGAAGCACCAGCCACATACTTCCCGTGAGGGACGTGCTTTGCTCGCTGACCGGCTGTGTAACCAGCGACAGAGACCTGCACAAAGGATTTCAGCTTAGAGAAACCTACAATACCATGATGAGATGTGCATAGATAAGAGCTGAAATATACACAAGGGAGCTTTCGAGACTACGGGTATTTTTTGGAGAATAGAAGTCCTTTATTTTTTTGGCAAGAGACTACTAGTTTCAACCAGATGAGAGGTACCAATAACTCAAGAAATGAATACTGAATCAGATCGTAATCAAAGTTTCCACAAGGACAAACTACAAATTCATGTTTTCTACATGCTTTAGCGACATCTTTCATTCTCTGTTCTTTTCTTTTCTTCTTCTCTCTCTCTCTCATGTTTTTTATGTCTATCACTGACATCTTTGGTAAACGAATAACTAATTTGAATTTGTCTCTTTTTTTTCTCTCTTTTTTTCCCAAAATGCCCTTAGTTCAAAACTATTAAGTTTTGAACAACTTGATTGCCTTAATGCCTTTTCTTAACAACAATATCTAGACCTAAGAATTCCAAACTAAATTTCTCACGAAAATTATGGTTAGTACTCTTATGTATCGAACATCATTAATAGCAACTTTATGTTCAAAACTCGAAGTTTCCAAATATTTTTTTTTATTTTAAATTTTAAATTTTTTTTTTATCAAAATACCCACAAGCGATGAACTATTAAATGATTTACCCTTTTGGAACTCTTCCAACTCAAGAGCATGAGTTATTTTATGGGTATTTTGAAATTCAATCAAAATATAAGAGTAAAGTGCTAAATTATTACTCTCTCAAGTGTGTTGATACATTTCCCTTTGGGAAATGCTGGTATAAGCCCACTAGCTCACAACTATATATGAGCTCAACGGTTTAGAATAAATCTGAGCCGATCCAATGATCACGATTGTATTTTGTATTTTAATTTTAATTTTTTTCTATAAATCCAAATCACTTGAAATTTTGACATGTGTTCTTTAAAAATAGAAGAATTTAATGAAAATATCAAAAAAATAATTTGCAAAAACAAAATGGACTAAAATACCCCCAAAATGTTTTTGGGGTATTTTGGTCAATTTATGTTTTGTGAATGATTCTTTTAATATTTTTAGTAGGTACGCCTTGATGAGAAAAATGGATGATTACAATTTTATGTTATTTGGATTTGTAGAAAAAAAGTTATAATTAAAATATAAAAAGAGACCCAAGTAGGAACAAGCCTCATCAAATGCAAAATCAGGGTACAAAGTGTTCTGAGTGTGGAGAGCTAGGACGTTCTTTTGAGTGCACCAAGAGGCAAGCCAAAAGTGCACATAATTGTAGGCTGGACTACACCGAAGATTGTAAGTGAGGTGAGAAGCTTCCATAGTTTGGGTTTTTACAGGCAATTTACTAGAAATATTAGTTGTATCTATGACAAACTGCATGAAGAAAGTTGTATTTCAGTGGATTGAGGTAGATGAAGGTTGCCCAAGAGAGCTTTAGAGTAGTCATGAAGAAAAGCATAAATCATCCTGTCTTAGAATCAAAAAATTTCAAGAAATTCTTCCAAATGGATTGCAACGCATCACATGTGGGTTTAAGGTTGTTCTTTCCTAGAAGGGCAAGCCAGTACACTGGTCACCTAATAGACTATCACTCTTTTTCCTCCCTTTCATAGGAAAATTTCAAATGTTATGATTAACTAACTTTATGTCGAATAATTCATTCAATGCAATTCTTTCATGTCTACTTTTCTTCAATATTCACATTCACCATCACAGCCAAAAGAGGAAAACATTAGAAAGATAAACTAACTTGATCTGCCAACTTATGAGGAGTTTAGACCATAGGTACTAGAATCTTTGCGATCTCTCTCCCGGATCTATATTTAGAATGATGAAGAGGTCAATGAATCGTGGAGAGTTTACTTTTAAAATTATTAAATGACGAACACAATGGGAACATAACGTTAGAAAGAATCATTGGCATAAATGAGGGCGGAGGTCATAGATGCATTCGTAGGATTAGCATATCAGAAGTGAAAGAAGCTTTGAAGGGGATGACGATAGGAAAGGCTTTAGGCATAGATGATATGCCGATAGGGGTTTGGAAGTGCATGGGGAAGTTCGGCATTGACTGGCTAACAAAGTTGTTCAACAAGGTATTGAGAACAAAAAAAATGCCAGATGAATGAAGGAAAAGTATGGTGGTACCTATTTAAAAGAACAAATGAGACATACATATTGAGGAATCAAACTTATGAACACACTATAAAGCTGGGGGCGAGAGTGATTTAGCAACAACTAAGGCATGAAATGAGTGTATCAGAAAACCAATTCGGTTTTATGCGAAGGAAGTCAACAACTGAGGCTATTTTTCCTACTTAAGGACTGATTGAGAAGTTTATGGTGAAGGGAAAAGACCTCCACATGGTCTTTATTGATCTAGAGAAAATTTATGATACAGTACCTCGAGATTAATTTGTTGGGTGTTGGAAATAAAGGAGTTTCTAGACACTACATTGACTTGATGAGAGATATATACGAGGGAGTGCTAACTAGTGTGCGAACAATTAAATAGAGAGACAAGCAAGTTTTCAGTGACAATAGGTCTACATCAAGGATTAGCGTTGAGCCCATACTTCTTTGTCTTAGTTATGAATAACTTAACTAGGCACCTATAAGATGAGGTACCTTGGTCTATGTTGTTCATGGATGACATGGTTTTGATCAATGAGATCCAAAATGACGTCAACACAAAGTTAGAACTTTGGAATGATGCTCTAGAATTTAAAGGTTTTAAAATTGGTTGGACAAAGACAAGTATACGAAATGTAAGTTTAGTAATATTATGAGTACAGACAAGGAAATAGTTAAGATTGATAGGCAAGAAATACCACAAACAGTGCGCTTTTGATATCTTTGGTTGATAATCTAGGAAAATAGAGAGATCGAGGAAGATGTCGCACATATAATTAGAGCTAGGTGGGAGATGTGCAACTGGAGTTTTATGCAATCGCCGCATACCATTGAAGCTGATGGCAAGTTCCATAAGACAGCTGTGAGACCAGATTTGCTTTATGGAGTGGAATGTTAGCCAGTCAAGAAGCAACATACCCATAGGATGAGTAGCTGAGATGACGATGTTGAGATGGATGAGTAGCAAGTCAGGAAGGGATGAATTCGAAATGAATACATTCAGAAGAACTTAGGTATGGCACCAATAGGCGATAAGATAAGAGAAAGTAGACTTAGTTGGGTTAGCCATGTACAGCATTGATTCAGTACGTACCTGCTAGGGGGTACAAGTTAGTTCAAGTGGAAGGCTCAAAAAAAGTAAAGGGTAAGCCCAAAAGGATATGGTTGGAAGTAGTGAGAAAACATATGGGGACTTATGGCCTTTCATCCATGTTAGCCTTTCAAGCTCGAGCCCCTCTAATCAGATGGCCAACTAGTCATCTAATGTCTATTGACGACTCCTCTTGGATCATCCAGATGCCACCTTCCCTCATTTAAAACAGCCAACAGCAGAGCATGTCAAGAATCTTTCAACTCAACGCAACTCAACTCCAGTCATCTGCCCTCAGATAGGTGACATCCAGCTGCCTCACACGATCTCTATCAACAGCCATGATTACCCCAACACCCTCTTCCCCAATAAAACCCTTCTTTCTCTCCTCGCTCGATCCCTCTCCTGCCCTACCTACATCATTCCCTGCCCTCTCGCCTCCTTTCCCCTCTTCGTGTCCTCTCCCCCCAGGTTCTCAGAGCCCACAACTCCCTCATTCCATCCATATACACAACCATTACCCTATGATAACACCCTATCCCCTTTCCTCTAAAACCCTATGGAGAACACTTTTGGCCCCTCCCTCCTTAATGTCCTTACTTCTGTTCACTCCCCCCTTCACCCCCCATCATTTTCATAACCCTCCTGGTTCACCCAGTTACATAGTCCAAGCCAACTCTCAACCACCTTCATCTTCCCCGCAGCCCAGGAAATCAAATAGCAAAATTCTGTCCCTAGTTAAAACCACAGCCCTCCTCCTATGTTCTTGCTCTGCTCTTCTCCACCAAATCCCCAACGATCCCCCCGGCCTGCAACCCGCAACAGCCCCTCCCACCCCTCCCCAAAAAAAGAAAAATCTTCTCACCAGCAAAGTGGATACTCTGCCTCTGTGTTCTAGGCTTTGAAACAACAGGACACCAGAAACAAAAACCATGAAGACAGCAGACTAGTAAGCCTAAGTTCTGCAAATACTAGGGCAAGTATGTAGAGTACCCACACAAGTACTATACAGGTTGCTGGTTCCCATGTACCCAGAGTAGGCACATGGGAACTCGCCTGGTTACCAACCAAGCCCGAATAACTCAACCGAGCCAGAGTGGACTCAGCCCAAGTTTTTCAAGATGGTTTGCGCTCTGCCCAGAAAAAACAAGTTTTTAGCTGCACTGGATCTTCTTTTTTTTCTGACTCAAAGCTTAGTGTATGTAACAAGAGCTTTACATAACAGCATATGTATTCAACCAAGCATTACCAATAAAGCAAAGTACTTCTCGGAAATGCAACTCCACATGGCACCTAGCCAAGAAATGACACAATTTCTGAAATTAAATGCAGATGAGATAAAAAGGTCCAAAGACTTTTAGATAAGGATGCTAATATCTCATCCCAATCTCTCATGATAATATCTAGTGCAATTTATGAGATCAGATTTCAAGGTGAGAATTTACTATCTGCATATAGTACCTCATTCTTTCTCTACCTTCTTCTCACCCATTTCTTGCAGTCTCTCTTGACTTCTATTATACCTCCTCTTACAGTCTTACCTATTCTCACATTTCCCTACTACCTTCTGCTGCACGCATAATAGAACGCGTCAAGCATTCCACTATAGTGACGTTTTTAGTTCAGCATCCTAATAATTGCTTTTCTCTTTCTAATCCCAAAATTTTCTCCCCTTCTATTGACCTTTCAGAAGAGAAAGAGATGCCAAATCCTGCCTCATGGCTGTTTGGGCATGCCTTTGACTTTATCTGGAACCTTGTTGACAAGAAGCTGT